CCCCAAAACCCCAAAACCCCATTTATCCAAATATTGGATACTTTTAAGAAGTGTAATGATTAATGTTTCAAATTTAGTTTAAAAGTTCATTGTAGGTATCTTCTATATTAATATTAATATTATTTAGATATTACAAGCTTATCTTATTCCATACTTTATTTGTTGCTTTTGTTTGATTTATTTACAATTTAGTACTTTAAGATCTACATTTTTACTGCCAAGTTAACTCTAAAGATTTTGCTTTTGTCTTAATATTGAATTAACAATTTACTGTTTTCCTCTCATACTTTAGGCTTTATTTTGAAGTTTTTATTATATTGCAAACTTAGTAAGGCAACTGTTAGAGGTGGTTGAGATTTGATAGAGATTTCCAAATATTAAAGACTAAGATGTGTAAATTAAAACATTACGCACCTTTTTATTCTTAAGTCTCCAGTTGATAATATTTTTGAAAGAAACAGAATAACTTCTTATACAAGGATAATGGACGATAAAACTCAACAATAAGTCATAGATCAGACAAAGAATTCTACCTCATAAAATCAATCAGCTGTACCATTCAGACTTACCAATGATATAAAATAGACAAGTGGCTAGAGCTAATAGCAATAGTCGGCGAATCAGTAATCTTACTTCTACAACAACCCACAAGCATAGATTTACCCAAACTCCTCTGCTTAAGTTGGAAACCTTATGAATCACTACTATGCTCCTTAAGGTGCACAAACTTTCACTTCAAACCAGAATTTGCCTGTTTAATTCAATTCTAGTGCCAGTCAGTATACTTCTTAAGCAGCAGCTGCTATGTATATGCAGCAGAGTTAAAATCCTCATCATTAGATGTTTTATAACTAGCAAGCTGCTTATGCTTAGTAAATGATGAGCATGAATGATCCTTAAGGCATTATGATGAGATAGTAGTAGCATTTAATGACTTCTCATATGACTGATCATTCGCATCTTTAACTTCAGAATTAAATGATGCTGCATTCTATGGGTAATGGAATGATTTTACCTTAAGGTGCCCTAGGGACCGAGGAATCTAAAGATCATCACAGAGAAGTAACTCTTACAAATGCTGAGGATGACATAAATATCGATCTTGGAAAGGAACTTGCAAGTAATCTAGGACATGAAATGATGTAAGATGATTGCGATAACACTATCTCAAGATTTCATGAGGAAGAGGGACAAGTAAATTAAACTGATGATCCTCTTCATAACACAGCCTCTGTAAACTAAAATTCTCATGTAAATCCTTCTGACATGAGATAACCCAATGGGAATATTGGTCAAGGTTAAGGAAATCAAAATTCAGTAAGCACTAAGTTTTAGGTACCCCAGAGTCCTGGCGCTCTAGTCTAACAACCTAATATGCCTCTGCCTTAAGGAGGTAGTGCGATAGAATAATACTAAGTTTAGAGTCTAGTATCGAGACTTAAGGATTTAGAGTATGACAACTTTAGATTAGATAGAAAACTTAGTGAAATACTTAGCAGATCTTGGAGAATAGAAACAATGTTCAACAATTACGTCTTCAACTAGTAGTTTAGAGACAAATACGAAATGTCCAAGTATTATTGCCAAGGAGATGAAGGAACAAACAATACCAACAGTAGAGATAGAAAGACTTTCTATGTACATTTTGTTGACTATTTAGGTTCAAACTCCTTTAGAAAAATATAGGATGCTATTGATATAGCGAATGATAATGATAAAGTTGTAGTTGCTGCTGGAATATATAATGAAAGTATTGTCATTAGCAAGCAAATTATATTGATCTCAAGTGGATATGTTGAGATTAGGTCAAGCATGCAAAATGTTATCACATGTTGTGCTCCAAATGAAGGCTGCTTAATAAAAGGATTTGCTGTAAGAAGACTCGATGGATCAAAGGTTGATCCAACCACATGTGGAGTTAATACAGTAGCGTCTAATACTGCAAATGATTTGACTTAAAAAAGTGGGACTAATGTATCTGATAGAGATTTAAGAGTGAATGAAGGAAAATTTAACAATAGAAATAGAGATAGAGATGATGATGATCCAAAAAATTCTAATAGAGTGTTCTCTTGTGAGAACAAATTCGCAATTTATGTAAAAGAAGGTAGAGCTACTATAGAGGAATGTGATATGCTAAGTGAATGCGGAACAGTAGTATTTTGCAATCCTAGATCGCACACTAAACTTGTGAAGAATCTAATATGTGGATCTATTGGATCTGGAGTTATGGTCACAGGTAAAGGAGCTAGGATCCTTGCTGAAGATAATCATATATACGGTAGCACAGGATGCGGAATAGATGTAAGAAATAATGCTTCATGCACTCTAGTAAAAAATAAGATTCACAATTGTGATAAGTCTGGAATTTACATACTCATGACCAATGATGCAAGAATATTTAGAAATGAGATTTGGGAGAATCATTTCTCAGGTATAGAAGTAACCAATGCATAAAAGGTGGAAATTATTAACAATAAAATCTATTAGAATAAAAGAGCTGGTCTATATTTTCACACAGAGTCAGATGTATTTGTTGAGAATAATGAAATTATTGAGAATAAAAATGCCAATGTTATAATGAAGGAAAAATCTAGAGTCAAAATGGTTCATAATTTCATTGGTAGATCAATAGGCTCAGGGTTGGTAATACTCACTGGAAGTGGCTGCTATTTTGAATAGAATATCATTAAAGGATGCATGAATAATGGTATTGATCTTTGTCACGGAGACATCTATGCAAGTAAAAATGTTATTATAGACAATGATAGAAGTGGACTCTATGGAAATGGACATATAAAAGGATTCTTTCAAATGAACAAGATTATTGGTAACAAGCTATAGTCTTGGAATAATGGATTGTGCAAGTACATTATGGATCAAGATGGGAAAGGAGGTTATAATAATCTTCAATCGATCAAAGGAATTTCAAAAGAGAGATTCGTGATGTTCAGAAACATTGATGACTGTGAGCTCAAGAGTCTCGACATGTTTGCAAGGCAGTAGTAGCAAACAAGGAAAGATATTAAGCTTTCAGATGCAGAGTTTGAGTCAAGAAAGCATGACTAAAAAATGCTTTAAATTCTGAAGGAACTAGACTAAATTGAAAAAAGCTTTTTCATACCAGTAAATGCACACCCACTTAAAAAAGTTAACGAAGGATTCTAGAAACCTGCAAATCCTAATGATGAAGACAATGCCAGTATGTCATCTGCTAACATGGCTTACATGAGCGACCATAACAAATAATGGGGATCTAGCAGCAATTACCAAAAGCGTGAAACATCAAGAGGAGGAGGTGAGAGAGGAAATAATACAGCCTCGATTCATGATAATCTATCAGATTTTGATAATAATGCTTCATAAAGAAGATCAAGATAGACTGGAGGATTCTCTTCCCCAAAGAAGTTTGACAAATCCTAAGGAAGATATGTTAGCTAGCATGATAGATCTCGAGATCCAATTGACAAATCATGCCATCATAGTGCAAATAAGAGAAGTAGAAATATTTCTAGATCAAGAAGTAGAAGCCCAATTTAGAATACAAGAAGAAAATCCACTAGCAGGGATCGTAAAAAATACTCGCCATAAAAATCACCTCAAAGACAGCCAACAAAGTATCCATTATAAAAGGAGAATCTCAATTCCACCAATTAGATAAATCAGTCAAACTCAACTATCCAAAATTAGTAGCTAATAATGAATAATATCAGTAGACCGAAAACTCCAGAGAAAGAAAATCTAATTAATTTTAACAAACCAATAGAATAAATACATTAAGTTAGTGAGCAAAATAAGCAAGCTCCTACATTAAATTTAGATGATATTAAAAGAACTTAATTAAGCAATAGCAACTTGACCGCTGTAGAAACAGATCTTGTTTATGCTTTGGAATCTTGCAATGAAAACTCGAATTAACTAATAATTAATCAGAATAGTAGTGTTGGCAATTTGCAAAATAATTCATAATTTTTGGAATCATAAAAGACGACAGATTACTCCTAGAATACTAACAACACTCTTACACAGAGTACTATTTAATAGCAGATAAATAGCCAGCTAGGCAATGACTCAAATTAGTTTAGTATGAATATTGAAAATGAAAGTGAAAATTTGTTAAACAAAGGTAACTTAGAGAGTGAAATCAACGATGCGAGTCACTGTAGTGAAAAGAGTAAATAGAAGTTGAAAGGTATTAACAAGAGCCACACACCTAAAACAGCAGAAAAAATATTTATTGTTACTAATGAAAAACAAAGATTGGCTTAATAGTAATAACAGCAAAACTAATGATACATATATTATTCGATATTTTTCCTATTTATAGGATTTTTCATTAAAACTTCACACTAAATATTCTTTATATTTGCATAGGGGTTTTGGGGTTTTGGGGTTTTGGGG